TGAGGTCGTGCGTAGTGAGTACATATGTTCTGCATCGAGAGGAAAGTGAGATCTTCTTTTAGCTTTTGCTTTTTAGAATTAGTATGGTTGGACGTTGTAGTCGGTGGCAGCCGTCAAAGTCAAACCCCTTGATCTCTGCACATGCCTCCGTTGATGGAGCATGGTGCAAGAGCCAAGAGCTTGGCCACCACGACAGCCTTGAAGTTGTCTACTCAACCCCTCTCCACAGGATGCAGGAGAGGATGTGGTCTTCAACCACACTCAACGGTTGTCTAGCGTCGAGAAATCAACCCCTCAAGGCGTATATCAGTCGACACTTGAGTATCGAACGTGACCCCCGAGACTATCGAGGATCGCGCAATTACGAGTACTACATAGTACCCCATCAGTGTGAATGCTCGCATATGCACGCATGGCTGGTGAATATGAGAAGGTCATGCGTCCGCCCAAATTTTTATACTAAGTTAAGCGCGCGATGCCTAACCGACTCTCACTTCGGAAAGTTATGGGTTGGATACTGAAGGGACTAGGAGTGTTGTTGTGTTGTTGTGTTGTTGTGTTGTTGCGTCGTGCATTTGCGGATGTGAGTGTTGTGGTGTAACGCGTGGTGTGTGTGAGGCGTCCTAGTCGACCGACGTCGAGTCACATTTGGGACCTCAGCCCCCAAGTGCATCGATTAGCGTGCGGGTTCGATTTTTGGGCGTTCGAATGCTCATACCCCCTATGCTACAGCAAACGAGAAACGCCCTCGGTTGGGCCACCTCTGCAATTGCATACGAAAAGCCTTCGCATGTGGTTAAGTAGCTCGGCGGGGATACGCCCACCTAAGGGATGGTGACAGCTCCCTCAGGTGGAGGTAAGCGGTGCCTTGCGTGACCCTGTCCTGTCGTAGGGGTTTCCGAGAGGTACGGCTAGCGCACTCGGGCGGAGCGGCAAACGCTCTCCGCGATAAGTCCTGCAAAATCCTGCGTGACATGGTCAGGAGGGTCCCCGTGCGGGACCGATGCGCTCAACAACGTCCCCCACACCTCGGTCTGGTCATGGAGAACATAGGCGCTCCCTCTCCTAATCTCCTTTCTAAGTCCTTGCAATTTCGTGTTCTTCGCGCATGCATGCACACTATAAATTCCGGCTGCACAATTAGATGACTCTCTTAACCAGTTGTTGGAAGCTAGGGGTAGTGCGATCAGTGAGGGTCGGCTCACGAGTGCAGTAAGAGGTGAGTTGACGTGGGAGTCAGGCGACCCGACGAGCTAGTGCTGAATGCGCGGGGTTGACGCGTGGGGCTACAACGGACTGTAGTGTCCGGGCGAACCAGACGGGCGCAGGAGGACTAAGCGGGGTGACGACTTCGTGGGTGTGTTCGTGACGACGGACTGTCCGCATCGGAGAGAGAGAGAGAGAGAGAGAGAGAGAGAGAGAGAGAGAGAGAGAGAGAGAGAGAGAGAGAG